TAGCTCCGCACGTGGGGCTGTAGCCGTGTCCTGGTGGGCAGGCCGGAGCGGGGCCTGTTTTGGGGGGGGAGGGATGCACATCAGCTCAGCCCCCCTAATCCCCCCCCTCACCCCACTAATCCCCCGCACTGGTCCTGGGACCCTCCTGCTTCCCCGCTTGCCCTCTGACCTCTGCTCCTTTCTGCTTGGCGTGTGACCCAAAACATTTTGGTACCGGGGTCTCCGTGGGCTCCGGCCCCTGTGGGCGATGCCCGCCTGCCCACGGGCCCCGGGGGCGTCTAATGCACTAACGTGACAGCGCTGCTTAGATGACCTCTCTGCTTCTCTGTACTGTCTCCGGTGCCGTCTCTGGGCCCTGACCTTTGCCCTCTGGCCTTTGCCTCTTTCTTTGCACTGCTCGGGCAGCCGAGGGAGCGCGACGTGATCAGGAACTTGCGGCTGGTGAGTGCCCGGTTCTGCCCTTCGCTCCCCGCATGGCTCCGCTCCGCTCGGCTCTGCTCCGCTCTGCTCCGCCACATCCGCTATCCCCCTGTGCTCGCCCCGGGCACGTGGCCTCCATCTGTCCTCTCCGGGGACTCCGGCGTGGGCTGGGGTGTGGTGCTGGGCGGCTGCGTGGGTGTGGGGCTGCAGCCCTGGCGAGGGAGGGGTCCTCTGGCGTCACCTGGGGTTTGCTTGGGATGGGTGCTGTGCTGGGGGTGGCGCCGCCGCTCCGCCCCAAGTGGCTGCGGCACTGCGGGGAGCTGTCAGTGCCAGCCCCCGCGTTCGTGTGGGTGCACGATGGGGCGCTGCTGCCCTGGCTCCACATAGCCTCTGCAGGGGCTTCCTGCAGGCGGGGGCAGGATCCCCACACCCTGCCCTAGGTGCTGCCGTCACTCGGCCCCGGCGCATGCACCACCCGGACCCCGCTGCTACCACCCAGCTCCGGCTGCGGGTGCCACCCCCCAGTACCCCCTGCCGGCCAGCGCCGGGCCAGAGCCCCGGTGCCCAGTGTTGCGATGGCAGGTGCCTCGGCAGTGGGGACGCGCTAGGGTCCGGCTCCCCAGGGTCCGTGCCCAGGTGCCCGGGAGGAAGGTGGAGCTGCGGCCGTGCCGTTCCCTGGCACTGTTGGCTCCCGCACGCTTCCTGCCAGCCCCGCGGGAGCCGTGCTCAGCGGAGGAGAGGAAATCCGGGCTGGCCCAGCCTCTCCCTTCCTGCCAGCTCTGCTCCCTCCCTCCCTCCCTCCCTCCCTGCTGCCCACGTCCATCCCTGGCCGTACTCAGGCCGCCTTCTGGGGCGGGTTTGTCCCCTGCCGGGCCAGCTGGGCACCAAGGAGGGGCATGTGCCCGCCCGGTGCGGCACCTGCCCGCCCCCCGCCCCGCTCCCTTGGTGCTGTGCCTGCACTGTGCCTGCATGGTGCCCTGTTAACCTCGCCTGTGCCACGAGCCCTAACCCCTCCAGAGCCGCCGCGTGTGTGCAGCCCCCGGTCCGCGGTGCTGTGCCGGGGCCCCGTCCTGTCCTCTCGGCTGCG